GAGCGTAGTGTACTTACATTCACAGTGTGGGTAGTTCCAGGTTCCCTCCCTATGCCCCGTGTGAGAGCAGAGGAGGAGGAGGAGGAGGAGGAGGAGGAGGAGGAGGAGGAGGAGAAGGAGAAGGACGAGGGAGGAGCACGAGCGTAGTGTACTTACATTCACAGTGTGGGTAGTTCCAGGTTCCCTCCCTATGCCCCGTGTGAGAGCAGAGGAGGAGGAGGAGAAGGAGGAGGAGAAGGAGGAGGAGAAGGACGAGGGAGGAGCACGAGCGTAGTGTACTTACATTCACAGTGTGGGTAGTTCCAGGTTCCCTCGCGGCAGCGGTCGCACGCGCGGTCGGTGAACACGCCACTGCACTTACACTGTCCGCTCACCTCATCACAGATCTCATCCAGGGAGCCGTACTGCGAGCAGTTACACGCTGAAAACATTCGATGCATCATCAATAATCATAATTAATCATCCTCATTATTGTTAATCAGTATTAATAAGTATTACTGAGTATTATTGATCAGCCATAAGTACATACGTATTATTGAGTAACTCAATATAATTCGTATATAATTAATAATTAATATTCTTAGTTAATTAATTAATTAAGAGCATTATTTGCCCTTAATTGCATGCTGCAGGGCACGACTAACGACAAGGGGGATGGTGGCACCGCCCTGATGAAAGCCGTACTGGCACACCAGATAAACGCAGCAAACAGTAAGATGTATAATTTATAGTTAACTTAGTATCCATAACCGATAATATTATCAATCGTTCACGAGTATTGATACGTATAACTAATCAAAGCCTTCTATCAACCGGCGCCCTCTATACTCGAAACTCACGCGTGCAGTGCGGGAAATCAAAGAATCCCTGGGCGCAGCGGTCACAGGTGGCGCCGCCGTAGTTGTAGCGGCAGGGGCATTGTCCTTGTTCAGGGTAGCAGACCGCGTCGATGGTGCCGTTGGCGTAGCAGTCGCATGGGTAGCAGTGTGGTGGCGCGTAGTAACCATATGCACACTCATCACAGTTCACACCGGCAAAGTTGTCGCGACACTCACACTGACCCGTCACGTCGGAACATGCGCCCGTGGACACGCGCGGGTCGCAGCGACAACCTGCAAGATATCATCATCATCATCATCATCATCATCATCATTATCATCATCATCATTGTCATCATCATCATTGTCATCATCATCATCATTGTCATCATAATCATCATCATCATCATCATTGTCATCATCATCATCATCGTCGTTACCATCGTGATAATCATCGTCATCGTCGTGATTATAATCGTCGTCACCAGTATCGTCATCATCATTGTCATCATCATCATCATCGTCGTTACCATCGTGATAATCATCGTCATCGTCGTGATTATAATCGTCGTCACCAGTATCGTCATCATCATTGTCATNTACTCACTCCCCCCGTCCACGCACACTTACACACACAACCCCCACCCCACCGCCCCACCCCGACACACACACCTATGCACCACCCCACACGAACTCACCCTCGCAGACGTACGAGTCCTCCTCGGTGGCCCTCCGCCACTTCTTCTGCACGTAGTCGGTGCAGCAGGTGTCGCACTGCGCCCCACACGTGTTATGCTGGCAGCGACACAGCAGCTTGTAGGGGTCGCGCGGGTCAGTCTTGTCGCAGACGTTCGCGTGACCGTTGCAGACGCAGCGGCCGCCGATCGAGATGTCCTTAATGCTGTAGAAGTACTGAAGAACGACGCCAGGCGGCAGCACGTGAGTGGTGAGGCAACAAAGTATTGTGAAGATGGAGATAGATAGATAGATAGATAGATAGATAGATAGATAGATAGATAGATAGATAGATAGATAGATAGATAGATAGATAGATAGATAGATAGATAGATGGT